CCTGTAGACTATTCTCCAGAAGAGAAACCTTGCTTTAATCATTTCCCATCTCTACCCAAATCATATCTACATCCTGGTTTCCTGATCACGTCATCCTTCTCTATTGTGCTAATACTATCATTCATTAACCGAGCCAACACTCGGATTTTCCAGTTTCCTTTTCTGCACCCTTCAGTACTGAAGACAAATCCATGTAATCTATGGACTGTCAGATATCCAAGAGTCCATTTGCTGAATAAAAGAAAAAGCCTCCAATGGGCCTTAGCTGACAACAATGAGAAGTGTGGAAAGAAAGATCAACACAAGCCCAGGACCAGCTCCTTAGTCCAACATCACTACACTTGGATCATAATCCAACTTACAGGCGTGATTTTGTTGTGACAAAAGCTGCTTTCTCACTCGTAGTGTCCAGCGAGAATCCTGATTTCCTGCCAGACTGACTGGGATGGTTTACAGGGGTGTGAATGCCAATTGGGTTTGGCCAAGAGCCTTGAATAATTGTCTGATTCCGCCTACTCATCAGTCTGTTTGGAAGACTGTATTAAGGAGATTACTGCCAATGCTATTATATTTTTGCAATTACTATATTTGCACTTCAGTTTGAGTTGACACTGTACTGCAATCAGGTAAACCTAAACAGTTCCCACTGCAAAAGCCCTGGTTTTCTTTACTACCCAAGGTCATTAATTCTGGCCTTACTGTAGGGATTTGAACACATTCTCCTATGCAGTCATTGAGTCATAGAGACGGAAACAGAGCCTTCAGTCAAACCTGCCCACGCCAGCCCAATATTTTGAATTAATCTAGTAGCATTTGTCAAAGTTTGGCCCATATTACTCTATACGCTTCCTATTCATGTAATCATCGAGATGTGTTTTAAATGTTGTATTTGTACCAGCCTCCACCACATCCTCTGGAAGCTCATTCAATACATGCACCACACTCTGCATGGAAACGTTGCCCCTCAGATCCCTTATTTATCTTTCCCCTCTCACCTTAAACGTACACCCCCTAGTTTTGAACTTCCATGCCCTGGGGAAAAGACCCTGACTATTCATCATATCAATGCCCCTCATGATTTTAGAAACTTTAATAAAGTCACTCCTCAGCCTCTGACATTCCAGGGAAAATAGGCCAGCCTATTCAGCCTCCCCCCATAGCTCCATATCCTGGTAGCATCCTTGTAAATCTTTTCTGAACCCTTTCAAGTTTAACATCCTCCCTATATCAGGAAGACCAGACTAAATGCAGTATTCCAATAGCAGCCTAACCAATGTCCTGTATAGCCACAACATGACCTCCTAACTCCTATACTCAGTTCATTGACCAATAAAGGCATGCATACCAAATGCCTTCTTCACTACCATGTCCACCCGTGACTTCGCTTTCAAGGAACTATGAAACTGTACCCCAAGGTCCCTTTGTTCGGCAACACTCCCCATGACTTTACCATTAAGGTCTCAACTGGGATTCACTGCAGTATGGAGATGCCATCTTTTGAATGATATGTCAAACAAGGGAAGATGTAAAAGATCCCATAGCACAATTTTGAAGAACTGTGTAGGAAATCATCCTGGTGTCCTGGCCAATATTTATTCCTCAAACAGTCACCAAGCAGCAAATTATACGGTCATTTATCTCACTGGTGGTTGAGGCATCTTGCTGTGTATAAATTAGTCACTGTATGATTCCCACAGAAGTATCACATCAGACGTAAAAATAATTTGGTACACTCTGGCAACACAATAGGTCAACAGTCTAAGGCTCCTTGTTCCAGAGGAGTTTTTTTTTTCCTGTATGAGCTTATTCTTTTTTGCCAAGTCTAATCATCTCTAGTACCACTAACTTTAGTGAAACTGGATTCAACTTCCACATTCAGCCAAATGACTGCAGGTTGTCTGTTATCCAATGGAAGTGTCCATCTATGCTCCTCTCTTAATCAGTCTCCTGACTCATGTCGTGATCCTAGGTCCAAGGAGAGGCACTCTCAACAAGTGTGGCATCAAGGAGTCCTAGCAAAATCATAGCCAATATGAACCAGGAGGAAAAAGTCTACACTGGTTGGAGTCATATCTGGCTCATAGGAAGACGGTTGTGGTTTTTGGAGGTCAGTCATCTCAGCTCCAGGGCATCTCTGCAGGAGTTCCTCAAGCTTCTGGCCTAGGCCTAAAGATCTTCAGCTGTCCCATCAATGACCTTTGCCTAACATCCTCAAGTGAGGATGTTCACTAATGATTGTGCAATGTTCAGCACCATTTGCAATTCCTTAGATACTGAAGCAGTATCTAAAGACAGTGTCACAAGATCTGGACAACATTTATGTTTGAGTTGATAAGTGGCATGTAACATGCATGCCAAGCACAAGTGTCGTTGCAGATGATCATTTCACAAGAAGGAGTCTAATGACCTCCCCTTGACATTCAATGACATTACAGTCAATTGAATCCCCTGCTATCGACATCCTGACAGTTACCATTGAATAGAATCTTAAGTGAACCTGTAGCGGGTCAGAGGCTGGGATCTTTGCAACAAGTGAGTCACCTTCTGGCTCCACCATCCAGAACAAAGCACCCTGCTTGATTTTCACACCTGCTGCTGCCTCCAACTTCAACCTCTCTGCCAAAGAGACACAGTAGTGGCAGTGTGTCCGATCTACAAATGCACAGTAGTAACTTTAAGCCTCCTTTGACAGCACCCCCAAAACCCACAACTATTACAATCTAGAACAGCAAGGGGGGCAGATACATGGGAACACCACCAGCTGCAACCTCTCCTCCAAACCACTCACCATCCTGACTTGGAAATATATTACTCTTCCTTCAGTGTCACTGGGTCAAAATCCTGGAATTCCCTCTGCAAAAGCGTTATGGATGCCTCTACATCCCAGGACTGCAGCGTTTCAAGAAGACATCTCACCACTAACTGCTCAAGGGGGAGCAATACATGTTTGGCCTAGCCTGTGCTGCCCACATTCCAGGAAAGAATAAATAAACTTTGCGATCCCACCACTGTCTCTTCATCTTCTTCAAATTGCTGACATGTCTGGAGTAAGAGGCGACATACAACCACCAGCCACCCAACCCCACCATCCTCTTTGCCCTACTTCCCCCACTTCTCTGGGCCCAATGCTCCATTTTTAATCTCCCTGCCTTCCTTGTCACATTCAGCCTTGGAACCAGCTCTGGCATCATGTCAGCTCCTCTCCTGCCTCCATCCCAACACCCTCAGCTGTGGGTGCAGTCGCTCTTCCTCGTGTTTTGTAATCATTGTGAATTGAGGAGAGATGATGCAGACAGAACAAGAAAACAGCAGGAAGAATATACCTTTCTAAGACACACACACACACACGTTTATGACGAAGGTTTTAGTTGACAAATTAAAACCTTTTTAACAGTGACATTTTTGAAGAACTACACCCAGTGAGGGGCAGTTTGCTTTCACTCTAGCTGACTTGGACTCTAGCGATCTGAAGCACCAGAGTGTGTAAAGACTTGGAATGCTGTAGCACAGATCTCCTGTTACAGAACCAGCTCCAAGCAAAGTCTTAAACAGCCTTCCATTCAGTCCGAGGTGATGATCAAACCAGTGGAAAAAAGTTCGAAGCATTACTCAATGCTTGGCATGCATCAAGGGTTTCTACTCACTGAAATTAACTTCTCACTCACCAAAAAACCTGGGACTTGTATTTTATGAAATGAATAAAAGAGACAGAGACAACAAGGATAAGAAGTTGAGGGAGAGGGTTATAGAGAGACAGAGAGAGGCAGAGAAGGGAAGAAGGTGACAGAGAGAGGGACAAAAATAGGTAGAAAGTAGCATCTGTTGAACTCGCAGCCAAGCATACATAATGCGGGTGCTATTGGTTGACATGAAGTGCTTGAGAGGCTGATGGTGGTAGTTGGAGGGGAGGTGGTAGTAAGAGTTGGCATGGATGGCACACATGGGTTTTGTTGCGGGGGTGAGGGGCTGTGAGGTCTAGAGGATCTAATATTTAGTGGAACAAATAGGATAAAGTTGGCCACAGCACTTGGTACTTTGTGTCTACTTCTGATCTGTGTCCAGCAGCAGTGGGCTCCACTGTATCCCACATGCACTCCCCTCTGGAATGCAAAACGTGTCTCCCAGGGCAATATTCCACAAAGTGAATGGGCCGACTCAGGAAATTTCCCAACTCCAAGATACAAATCCAACCGGAGAAGGAGCCTGAGGTAAATTGGAAGAATTTAGTCTGTACAAGGTAAGAACAAGCCAGGTAGGCTGAATAAAATCACAGGAAGCCATAGCAAATCAATTCACTGACCATGTCCCTTAAATGAGAAACTTTACTGGTGTTGGAAATCAGATCGGGCACGCTTCTCGCCACAAGGAAATGGGAGGGCCTTTGGCTCATTTTACTCAGCTATTAACATTTTCCAACCCCATGATGAGTGGAAACTGGCCTTCCAGTGGCAGACTGGGGAGGTGATAGCTTTAGAAAAATACCAAACAAGGGCTACAAGCAGTGAAGGCAGACCCCACAACCCCATGCATTTCCTGGAAAGGATTTCTCCTCTATCACCAGCATTTTAGCTTTTTCTCATTTTCTGCAGCTTACATGAAAGCTTCAAAGCCTGGTTTCTCCCTCATTTTTCAGCTTAACCTACAGTTCCTATAATTATTTGATACCTCTCCTAGCATATCACCACGCCTATTGTTCCCTTTGCATATATGTAGCATGTTCTCAATATTTCAGTTGGCTTTAGACCACAAATGGCAATAGCAATAACAGACAGATAACCAGTTTTAATGATATTGGTTACAGCTTAAAAATTATCCCCTGCTCATTGTTGAACATTGCCACAGGACTTTTTTCTCTCACCAGAAAAAGAGTATCAGGTCTCAGTTTTACGGCAGCACAGTATTCGCTCACTCCTGCACAAGTGTCAGTCTGGACTAGCTATAAGCTGCTGGAGTGGGGGCTTGAACACACACCTTGCTCGCTCAGGGATGACAGAGCTTACCTGGACAGTGCAGGAGGTAAACGGAACAAAGCCACTGAAGCCAGGAGTCCATGAGATTCCAAGAGCACGGGAGCTTGTGAAAGTCACTGTCACATTGTTTGGTGTGTCTGGCAGAACTAGAAGAGAAAGCATACATTGTTCAACCTGCAGCAACACCCAATCAAAACTCATTGCAATATTACAGTCATTATGGCATAGAAGGGCACCATTCAACCCATGAAGTTTAATTAGGGGTTCAAGAGCTCATTTTCCTCCCTCATCCAAATCTGTTTCCCTTCCCCTCCTGAAGTTTTTTCTTGTTGGCTTCTGTTGCGACTAAGTTGCCTTTGCACATGTCTACTATTTGTTCTATTTCAAAGGTAAATGCCAACAGTTAACGGCTGAGATGGACAGGTTGCCTAATTAAAATGCCAGTATACATCGACTCCACTTGTATTCCTTTAAGAAGATTAAAGGAGGACCTAACTCAGGGCTTTGAGCTGATTACACACAAGTTAGAATATAAGAACATCAGAAATTGGAACAGGAATAGGCCATTCAGCCCTTAAAGGCTGTTCTACAATATAATAAGATTGCATCTAATCTGATGAGGCCTTAACTCCACATTCATGCCTGCCCCATGAATCTTTTATTAAACAAGATCTACCAAATGCAGCCCTGAATATATTCAATAAGCCATCCTCCATTGTTCACTTCAGGAGTGCATTCAAAATACTAATGAACACCTGAGGAAAGAAATTCCTCCACCTTAATTGGGGGACCCCTGATTTTGAAACATGTCCCTGTTTCTAGATTCCCTATAAGGCAAGGCATCTAAACTCTAGTGAAGAGAGACCCAACCCTTCCTCAAATGACAATCCCCCATCTCACAATCAACCTCATGAACCTTGTCTGCTTGCAATGAAAGCACATCCTTAAAACTACCAAACCTGCACATTACTCAAGATGTGTTCTCACCAGTGCCCTGGGCAGTCGCCCCAAAACTTTGCTAATATTCCTCTTCCAAGGTGGTGGCACAGTAGGACTCCTGAGCTGGAGCTCATCCGCTTCTGTCCATTTCTTTTCTGTCTTCTCTCTCTCCTATCACATTTTGTTTTTTCTTTTTCTTTTTACCGCCCTTCCTTGGGTGGCATTGATGATATCCAGGGTGAAAATCAGTACTGACTCCCCGCCTCGAGGTGAAGCCTGGCACACTTGCATTGGAAGGACTATTATTCTGAACTTGTATTTCTCTAATTTTCAAATTTATTGCTGGACTTTTTATTCCTTTTTTTTCTAACTTTTTTCCCTAAGGGGTGGCATGGTGTCTCAGTGGTTAGCACTGCTGTCTCACAGTGCCAGGGACCCAGGTTCAATTCCACCCTCAGGCGACAGTCTGTGTGGAGCTTATACATTCTCCTGGTGTCTGTGTGGGTTTCCTCCAGGTGTTCCAGTATCTTCCCACAGTCCAAAGATATGCGGGTTAGGTGGATTTGTTTTACTAAATTGCCTATAGTGTCTAGGGTGGGATGTTCTTCAGAGGGGTTGCTGTGGACTCAATGGACCAAATGGCCTGCTTCCACATGGTCAGGGCTCTACGAATTTGTACTTGAGAATCAGTACCTAAGATGGCACTGTAAGTGGTGACTTGTAAACTTTTCACTGTACTCATGTGAATACATGTAACAGTAAAGCCAATTCTAATTCTATGAAACTCCATTTACCTTGCAACAAGGCCCAACATGTCTCTTGTCTTCCTAATTATTTACTGGATCTGTAGTCTAACATATTTGTGCTTCTTGTACAAAGACACCCAGACTCTGCAACATTCTGTAGTCTCCCTTCATTTAAATAACATTCTCTTTTTCCATTCTTCTTGTCAATGTAGACAACCTCACATTTTCCCATTTCATATTCTGTCAATTTTGAACCCATCCACTTAACCTATCTTTTGCATCTATCTGTACAATTTGCTTTCTTACCTAGTTGTCATATCATCAGTAAATTTGGCTTAAATACAATCGGTCCATTCATCCCCAGGTGATTTATATAAATTGTAGATTGTTGAGGCCCCAGCACCGATTTCTACAGCACTCCACTTGTTTCAGCTTGGCAGCTTGAAAGTGATCTATTTATCCCAATTCATTAGCCAATCTACATGAATATATCACCTTTGTCACAGCTTTTATGTTGTGCAGTTACATTTTATGTAACATCGTGACAAATGTCTTTTGGAGATCCGTATAAACTACATTTGCCAGTTCTCCTTTATCCACCCTGTTTATCACATCCTCAAAGAATTCCAATAAATTCATCAAAAATGATTTTCCTTTCACTGAACCATGTTGCCTCTGCCTTTTTATAATGGATTCTAGAATTTTCCCAATGGCAGATAGTAAGCTGATAGGCCTGTAGTTTCCTGCTTTCTGTCTCTGTCTTTCTACAAATACAGATTCAACATCTATGGTTTTCCAGTCTTTTGGGACAGGACAAAAATCTTTGGAATTTTAGAAGATTACAATGAATCCATTTTGTTTAGGCCCTACGATGCAGGGCAGCAGGTCTAGGGGATTGGTCAGGTGCAGTTATGTTTGGTTTACATGGACATTTTCTCCAAATAATAGGATAGATAAAGTCCAAACCAAGAAAGTAGAACTTCAAAAATACAGCTAGACTGTTCAGGAATGATGTGTTTATATAAAGGCGGTAGAAATCTGGAATCTCCCAAAGAGCTATAGCAGCCCTAGCAGGTATAGCTAAAAGCACCAATCAGGAATTAAACTTGAAAATTTCTCAGGTGATCCCTCTGTGTCCTGCGCAGGGCCTGGTTCCCCATGTCCTGCATAGGGCCAATATCTCATCCCACTGGAAAGCATTGCATTTTCAGGGTTAACTTCGCTTCCCTTGTGGGCAAAGTCCTCAGCAATATTACAGGGTATAGGGGAGTGACACCTGTAATATCCCAGTTTCACCCAGAACGTGTCAATGGTGGAATTCTCATATGTGTCCCCATCACATACTAGGGGATAATGGCTAACACAGGAGCAGCTGGGATCTGAGAGTGAGACAGAGATATTTGGGAAAGCAATATGTGAATTCACATGGGGCATTTTACAGTTTCATCACATTCTAAAGTAAGTTACAGCCAAATGACACATTTTTGATGCACCATTGTTTTGCCAGTGGGTCTAGATGATACAGGATGTCTGGTACAAAATCACCTTTCCCACTGTTTTCCCTTTTTTGTGGTTGCTCAGCCAGTGTCCAGATCTGTGAGACCAAAGTCACCTGACTGTGGAGAAGAACTTTCAGAGGTCTCACTGGAACTGCCAGCCTCAATTTGCTGCTTAAGGCTCTGCATTGGGATTCAAACTCACAAACTGGTAGCTATGAGATGTGACAAATAACGGTGAGGACAAATGCCTTCATGAATTGAGCAAGGTGAAATTCAAGATAGAGGGGGAAAGAAAATTGAGATAAAAAGAAATGTTTTATTTCTCCAGCCATTTCTCTGCCCCTATCAATGTGATTTGTAATGTTACCACTGTAAAGGGCTCTCACACACAAGATTGGGTGCAAGGCATTCCATCAGATGCAATGTGATATCTCCCACTTCATTGCATTGATAATGTAGCAGTACTGCCACCACAGTGGCGATGTGGGCACACATCTACTGAGGTGGACACTAGGGTACACAGCGGTGAGAGATGCAATTCTGACATGGGTGGGTCCGACGCAGGCAGCAGCAAGGTGGTGGCAGAGGACGATCAGCCCAGCACAAAAGATAGTGTCTGAAGAGTGTCCACTTTGACGTTGGTTGGGTCCAGCACAGACAGCGGTGAGGCGGTGGAAGAGGGATAGCGGTGCACGCGTCGATGATCAGCTGGCTCAGAACTGATGGACTCTCTTTAAGCTGTATCTTTCTTTTTTCTTTCTTAATCTTAAGCTATTCAAAATGCCACCAGATCACGGTGACAGTGGAAAAGCTTTTCACTGTATTTTATTGTTTTCCTCACTGTAAAATACATGTGACAATAAAATCATTCATTATTCATCCATTCATTCACTTAAAACATAAAAGGAGCTACAACATCAGCAGCTCATGCAACATCAGCTCACTGATATTCCTTCACAACCAGGAGAAGGTCCACATCTGATATGTTTTTCCAAGCAAGCACTTGGTGAAAACCTAAAAGCTGGTCTTTCTAGTTGAGCCTGGAAAGTTCCATCCACTGTCTCTTTAACAATGTCCACCAATGTTAGCTGGAACTAGTCACTAACATGCAATAAACTATATCTTAACCACAAGAGACTCATCTGATTAGACCAGGAAGTAATTTTCCTCTACTATACTAGACCAAGGAGATCCAGTAGTTTCCAACACTTAATGAGGATGGTGGCAGCAAACCTACAGATGGTGAGGTGCAAACTTGGCTTAGCTATGTATACAATGACTCTGACCATCAACAGCCTGGATGGAGAATTTACAGGTGCTCATTGGATTAGACTAGAGCAGAAAAGGGTTACTCAATGAGAAAACCTGCCTTGTCATAACATTTCTTGGGCATTAACCATGTTACATAGGCATTAACTGACAAATCCAACTGAGATCAGAAGTAAAATGCTCTGATATGTGGGATCTATAAACCAAAACAATTCAGCATCCAAAGGTTTAACAGTTTGAAAAGGTTCAGTACTTCAACTCAACTTGTCTTTTATTTAGAAAGACCCATGAGGATTTATAAACTATTTCCTCCCACTGACCAAAACAACTGCAAGTGACTGTGTGTTAAACTGCTTTGAGCCCTTACCTCAGAGTGGATTACAGTAACACTCTGTTCAGTTATACCAGCTCCCAGATCATTTCCAGCACTGATATTAGACGCTGTTCTTTACCTGAGTTGTGTGAAAAGAGCAGTGTCCCAGTAGGTAGGAGAGAAGCGCTGAGCTTGCTTGTCGAAAAGGCTGGAGTTGGTAGAGGGGTGAAGGAGAGGAGCTAAGAAAGGAAATTAGAAACAAGTGAAAGTCTTCTTTTACAAAAAGGAATAGATAAGATAATGGACTAAATTATTTTGCTACAAGGTAAAGTAAATCAAAAGTTGCATAAACAGAGGAAGGAAGACATGAGGAGCAAGCGGTTTAAAGTTAGGCCTCACTGCAGCCTGAATTGAGTGGAGAGTTTTTCAACATTGTTCAGACTTTACCGGGATACAGTCAAAGCAACAAAACTATTCTTTTTCTTTGTGAAAATAGGGGTATTGAATGTCATTTCTATCAGAGGAAGGGAAAAGAATTTTCAGTCGTGGATAGATCTCTTCACAGAGGTTGGAGTCAAAGGAATGCATGAGTGCAGCTGCCAGAAAGCGAAAAAAAGGGCTTTGCTAACAAGCTGTAAGTTAGAGAATAACAGAGGCTTCCCAATTAATGCTGTAAACAGCCAAGTAAGACAAAGAACAGACTGTACTGCCCTACGCCTGCGATCTCTGAAGGTTACAGCAGTGGCTGCCCACAACTGAGTAACAAGCCAAGGACAGCTTACCAAGCAGGGACTATGGATGAACGGCGGAGGAAGAGACGATTAATGGGATTACTACTACATACCACTGTCAGTGTATAATGCCACCTTCGCATCATCCTTCTGAATTGCTGATAAAACCTTCAAGAAGAGTGAAGTGGGCAAGGAGTTGGGAAGAGGAGCTATGTGGATCAGGATTCGCACAGCAGCCGGATCCACAATTAAATGAATAACTGCATAATTTTTGGGTGCCTTAATAAGGGAAAATGCAAGTGGTGGGGGAAGGTTGAGGTGGGGTGGTGGAGAAAAGCATAAAGTGAAGGGAAAGGGGAGAGAGAGAGAGAGAGAGAGAGAGAGAGAGAACAAACAGACAGAGAGGCCAGTGAGGGGAATGGGAGATGGAGGAAAAGAATGAAGTACAGCTGATCTTAGATTCATAAAGAGTGAACGACACACAATCTAAACTGTTGTTATCTTAAACTATGTGTTACAATTAGGATTAAACTGATGACGTAGAGATTAAATGACAGCTACAGATACTAATTCACAGAAAGAGTGGGATTGTTTGATGCACAGGAGGGGACAGAATAAGAATGGAAGATACTAAAACACAGACAGAAGCTGAAAGGGTGATGATAAGAGCAAGGGGCAGTATTACAGTGATCAACTGAAGCAGTTATAGGGTGTAATATGGAAACGGTGTTCATCCGCACACCCTGCCACAACTACACCAAAAGGAAATGTACCATTAAACATTCAAAAACCTCAGCAATCCCTGCCCACCAAAAAACTAATTTTCAGCAAACATAAGGCACTAACTTGAACTTGAACAGGAAGAAGCTGGAGGAAGGAGAATGAGTATTCACAGGGCAAGGTTTGAAAGCAAAAGTGAATTTAAGCAGGGTATTGTTTATAAGTAAGTGGTTACGGAATGCACTGCCAGATAGCAGGTGGAAACAGTTTCTCGAGCATCTTTCAAAACAGAATTCGATAAATAGCTGAAACAAAAATAATTTGCAGAGTTCTGGGGAAGAACAGGCATGAATGACACTAACTGGAAAACTTTCTTTCAGAAACCTAGCGCAGTCACAATAGCCACCTTCTATTCAGATCAATTCTATGAAATTTTAATTCTGTTCTGTGTGTACAAAGCTAGTGAGCATTGGCATCATAGGTCTCAGCCTTGCCCTTCTCTTGCATCAGCATCTTGCAATGGAATTGCCAGACCTCAGATCCTGACCAATTTTTGTCCCTTCCTTCTTAAAACCAAGGAACTCCAATCCTGATCACTTTGCTGCTGTCACCCAACCTGGCATCACTGGGTAACCTGGCATCACTGGATATCCCAAACTGTGTTACACATTACTGTGGTGTCAATGACAGGGAGAGGGGCTGCTTTGGCAACATGCAAGAACAATTTAGAAACAAAAATGTTCAAACAATCAAACATTTTTCATTCTGAAAGACCCAATTGCCACATCATGCAAAACAGTTACTCCATTATGACTATAAGTGAGGCTGGCAGACAGTGTCTGTAATAAAACAAAGAACTGTAGATGCTGAAGAAATGAAACAAACAGAAACTGAAGAAACTCAGCAGGTCTAGCAGTATCTGTGAGTAGAAAGCAGTATCTAAACATTCAGGATGCGTTAGTACATATGGTCAATGTTAAATAACCTATGTGTTTATGACTCAGTCATTGGCCGTTTATTTATTTCCCGTGTACTGTAGGTCTAGTAAATTCTTCTTTCCTCTAAGACTGTGTTATTGTCACTATTATCTATCTGAACAAAGGACTGAAAATAACTCAAACACTGGTTTGAGCAGTTTAACTAAATGAGTCCAGATGGTGAGATTGTGTATTTAAATACACTTACAGAGGATAATATCACTCTCACAGGCACCCTGCTATTCTCATAAAAATCTGTAATAAAAAGCTAACCTAATGGCAACCATGCAATCACCATCAACTGTTGTAAAAAACCATCTGGTTCACTAATGTCTTTTAGGGAAGGGAATGTGGTGACGTTGCTTGGTCTAGCCCACATGTGACACCAAATCCACAGTAATGTGGTTGACTCTTTACTGCACTCTGGACAACTAGGAAAATAAATGTTGGCCTAGCCAGAGACACCCAAATCCCATAAAAAGAAGCCATAGACACACTGATAATCTCATTCTTGCAGACACCCTATCACTCCCATACCTTTCCCCTAGGGGAGGCAGTGGCCTAGTGGTATTATTGCTGGACTGTTAATCCAGAGGCTGAGATAATGTTCTGGGGACCTAGGTTTGAATCCTGCCATGGCAGATGGTGGAATTTGAATTTCATAAATGTATGGAATTCAGAGTCTAACGATAACTATGAATCTATTGCCAGCTGTCGGAAAAACCCGTCTGGTTCATTAATGTCCTTTAGGGAAGGAAACTGCCATCTTTGCCTGGTCTGGCCTACATGTGATTCCAGATCCACAGCAATGTGGTTGACTCTTAACTGCCCTCTGAGCAATTAGAGATGGGCAATAAATGCTGCTTAGCCAGTGATGCTTTCATCCCATGAATGAATGAAAAAAAGGACACTATTCATCCCTTTTCCTCCTCATTCTCTATCCTACCACCATTCCATTGTAAGAATACATTCCTGCTTTGTTAAAATAAAAGTATCATAACATCTGCCATAGTAACTCACTCTTTACCACCTTCTCAGATTTATGAAACATGTCCTGTCCTACATAGTTCCTTTTCCTGATGCCACAGGCTGAAACATTCCTGGATATTATTTTGCCCAAAGGATTAAATCTCCGCAGCATGCCTCAGAGAGGATACAGTTCCAAATTGGAACCTATTGCAACTGAGACTCTGGAAAATTTGTTAAGTTCCTTGTGGGACACTCCCACTTGGACCTATAAAACAGGTTCTCCTGTAAACATAATCCCTTGGGCCTCAGGTGTTTGATGGTATTCCCTCCCATAGGATCAAATGTTCAAACTAATGATGGGAACTGTAGTATCCCTCCGTTCCTTCCATGTCAGTCACCGACCCAATATGGAAATGTATCACTATTCCTTCATTATCACTGGGTCAAAATCCTGGAAGCATTATCACTACACAGAGTGCAGCAATTCCAGAGGGAAGAACAGAATGGTAAAGCAACAGAATCAGAAAGGTCCACCTACGTTTGACGTTGGCTGTTCGGGAGGTGGCCACACCCTTGGCATTGTGCACTTCGCATCGGAATGTTGCCGGCTTCTTTAACCCTGAGGGAAAAGACACAGAAATTAATCTGACTGACAGAAATGAGCTCAGAGCCCTGCACAAATGCAACATGGTTAAAAAGGAAACAGACAATATCTGCCTGGCAATTGGAAGTAGGGACTGGGTGACTATTGAGCCTTATGGGTAGGATCACCAACTCTGACACCTTTCAAAAGCTTCATCACCTGATCTCCCACCTTCAGTTGTCCAGCATCCTGGAGTCTCCTGTGAGTATAACTAATAAACAATGACATTCAGAGTAAACAAAGTCAAGTTGTTTGTTTAGACATCACTGTTACTTTTCAGAGAAGCTTCCCCAATTCTTGGACATTCAGGATATTTGGTGGTGCTAGGAACCTCATTCCTGGAGCCTCCAGGATCACAATGATGTCTCCTGGGCAATTTTCCCCAGAACTGCAAATGTAGAAAATCAATTCTTGAAAGTTTCAATCTGTACTCTGAATAATTTGCATTTATGCAGTGCAGAAACTTTGCTTTAACTCGCTCTGAACAGTGACATTGAGAAACAGGATTATAATTGCTCCAGAAATAACAATGTGTAGAGCTGGATGAACACAGCAGGCCAAGCAGCATCAGAGGAGCAGGAAGGCTGACGTTTTGGGCCTAGACCCTTCTTCAGATGCTCCTCTGATGCTGCTTGGCCTGC